GTCATATATTCCCCAGCAATAGATCATGTTGATAAAGGAGGTAGAAAGAAATTATATAGGCAGATAGTGAGAGTAGAAGGGTCCTCAGCAGAGCTTCCCTTCTAACAAAAAGCAGCCCAAGAAATGATTTCTTGTCTAACAAAGAGCATCCTGAAGCAGCAAGCTTCAAACATAGACAGGCCAGCTGGAAGCTTGCATGAGGGACTGGTGGGAGCTGTGCCAACAGAAACGGGCTACCTGGGGGCCAGATCTTCCCTGCTTTGCTTCCCATGTGCACAGTAAAGGAATGGGCAACAGGGCGCAGCTCAGGCAGAGGACCTGCCGGCATAGTAAAAGATGAGGCTGAGGGCTGCCACAGATTCCCGACCCGTGCAAATGGCTCACCTGTTCTAACTGGTTTTTCTCACTCTATGCTAATGGTACATTTGGTCCAACCAGTCTTTCATGCCCCATGTAAAACTGGCACTGGCTCCTCACCAGCTCATCCCTAAACCCCCCCGCATTTCATCACGGGTCCAGGAGCCCTCTTCTCTGGGACCCCTCTCTGCAGCAGAGAGCTGTTCTTTCTTTCACCAATTAAACTTCTACTCTTTTATTTTTTTCAAGTTGGAGTGTCACTCTGTCACCCAGGCTGAAGTGCAGTGGCATGATCTGTGCTCACTGCAACCTCCACCTCCCGGGTTTAAGTGATTCCCCTGCCTCGACCTCTCAAGTAGCTGGGACTATAGGCAAACACCACCATGCCTGGCTAATTTTTCATATTTTTAGTAGAGACGAGGTTTCACTGTGTTAGCCAGGATGGTCTTGATCTTCTTACCTCGTGATCCGCCCGCTTCGGCCTCCCAAAGTTGGGATTACAGGCGTGAGCCACTGCGCCTGGCCGTAAACTTCCACTCTTAACCTCACTCTTCATATATCAGTGTCCTTGTTCTCCACGGCCGTGAGAACATGAACCTTGGGTGACACTCTGACATTCAGGTTGTTTCCATATACCCACTTTGCCTCTTTTGAAAGAGAAACATCAGATGTCCCTGAAAGATATTTTTCAGATGACAGACCACGCAGGACGTCTCTCTGCTGCTGGGCATCTGTGGCCTCCATTGGCGCCCTCCATTCCCCATCTTATCAGTGCTTTTCCATCCTGAAGTGCTGGAATAATTATCCGATACTGATATGGCCTCATCCTGTCAGCGACTAATAATACTTGGCCCCCTTCCTGCTGACACTGCATTCCTCATGAATAATTTGTTTCAGACCAAACTGGATAATTTGTAGGCCACCTTCCCTTTAAAGAGCGTTTCAAGTAGCTGTTGTCATCTGTGAAATAAGTTTGGTTTTTATAAATGAACTGTATTATAAATCAATGAACCCAACTCTTAAGTATACTGGGATAATTTATGGCTGCTATGGACGGTAGCAAAACCTGCTCTCGAGCTTATGATTAAATAGGATTCTACCTGTGAGTAGAAAGCCCATTCCTCACACTCCTTCATGCACTCCCTGGGTGCTGCCTCCTTCTCCCCTTCTTTTCCATCATTGAGGGCAGCAGTAGCCACCACTGAATGGATTTCGGTTTTTCTACAGAAACACGGTTCATCGGTCTATTTTTAGGTGGCGAGAGTCCGGGAGGCATTCCTGAGTCTAGTCCCATACATGTGTAAATTGCATGAAATGTGGAAAAAGCTCTCTCCTGCAGAGAAGACCCTAGCATTGGTCAGTTTGGGTTAGAGCACGAGCTTGTTGCACTAGACATTCCCCATCTGCCCCTTAGACTCTTCACCGCCCTATGCCTTGGGGGCTAAGTTTTATAAATGCATTCATAGGCTCCACTGTCTCGGTTTGATTTGGCCCACGAGACACTTTGCAGAAGACGGAGGGCAGGAGGAGAGAGGCTGCTGTATTCCTCCCACCGGCTTTTCCCTGCAGGGCCTCCATGGGTTGGCTGCAGCTCACTGTGGATGCTCTCAGCTCCTGCAGGGAAGGCTCCCCTCCCCGATCCTGCAGGTCTTCGGGGGGCATCAGGCTGTACAGCTGCCAGTCTCCTCTTGCCTCCACCCTTGACAATGTTGCCTTTACTAAACTCTCCTCCATCGTCCCTTTGGAATGTGACATCCGTGCCCTGCAAGGCCTGAGCAGCATGCTGTCAACCCTGATAACTGCATGATATCCCACGTACATGGGAAGTCCTTCTTGACATATTTCTCTATACCTGTCTTTTCCCTGTGCCCTCTCACTCCCACTCAAGCAGAAAGTCAGCCTCGGACATAGACATGATGGAGAAGAGAGCAAAAGTAGCCTGGGAAACTTCTTGAATTTGTTCCAGATGTCAATGTCCCCGAGAGGGTTTGGAGACCAATACTGTCTAACTTGGAAGCAGGAGGGGAGGCCAGGCAGGGTGGCTTATGCCTGTAATCCCAGCACTTTGGGAGGCCAAGATAGGAGGATCACTTGATGCCAGGAGTTCAAGACCAGCCTGGGCAACACAGCAAGATCCTCAATCCTTGTCTCTTAAAAAGAAAAAACAAAACAGCTGGGCATGGAGGCACATCCTGTAGTCCTGGCTGCTCAGGAACCTGGGATGGGAAGATCTCCTGAGCCCAGAGAGCTATGATTGTGCCACTACCTTCCAGCCTGGGTGACAGAGACCCTGTCTGTAAAAAAAAAAAAAAAAAAAATTAAAATGCAGGAGGGATCATAGAGGGGCTTCTCTACAGGCCATGTGCTGTGTGGGTATTTTGGCATTGTCATGAAGGTGACAAGACCCCAGGGAAAGATGTGCCTAAGGAGACTGCACCATGGGCAGATTTGCATGTACCAGGGTGGACCTGCAGGGAGACACTCACCAACTTAATGCTCACCACTGAGGCAAGCTCCATGGACACAGAACCAAAGGCCAACCCACATGGGCCCTAAATCTCACTGTACACTGTCCCAAGGAAGCCTGGCCCCATGCAGGACCCAGAGGGAGGGGTGCCCTGGCAAGGGAGCCAGCGTGCGTCCAGTGCTCACTGTGCAGCGAACCTCAAATGCCTTATCTGTGAAGTCACCTACCATTCCCAAATCCATAAGGACTTTACAGATGGGGAAACTGAGGCATGGGACAGTAGAGAAACTTTTCCTAGGTCACATAGCTAGGAGTGGCCGACAATCTACCCCCCAGGTCCTGCTACTCCACTGTCACTCAAAGACTGCAATCAAAGTGAACCATACGAACCTAAAAAAACACAAAGAAAGCTTTTTCCAGCTGGGCGCGGTGGCTCACGCTTGTAATCCTAGAACTTTGGGAGGCTGAGGTGGGCAGATCACCTGCGGTCAGGAGCTCAAGAGCAGCCTGGCCAACATGGTGAAATCCTGTCTGTACTAAAAATACAAAATTATCCAGGTGTAGTGGCGGGCACCTGTAATCCCAGCTACTTAGGAGAGTCACCTGAACCAGGGAGGCAGAGGTTGCAGTTAGCCAAGATCGTGCCATTGCACTCCAGCCTAAGCAACAAAAGCGAAACTGTGTCTCAAAAGAAAAGAATGAAAGCAAGAAAGCGGTTTTCTTTGCATATGAGTTTCCCTTGATGGCTGCAGTCAGGGTGAGGATGGTGATGCCAAGGGGCATTCCCTCAAATTGCCACAGGGACCTGTGGACGCCACTCACATCATGGACTTCTGAGTCTGCAGGGAGAAAAGCTTGGATTTCAGATTTGCCAACATTTTAGAAAACTGTAGAATCTCGAATCTGGAAGGGATTATTCAGTCTGGTTTCCCACCTTAACGGGGGGGTTGATGGTCCCCTCCTTCCTCAGAGACCGTCAGGTGACAGAGCAGTTTCTCTCAGGACCTCATCCCAGAATTTAACATTCATCCCTAGCCTGGCTTAGAGTGCTCACCCCTGACCTTACCCTGTAGTAGGGAAATGTGGTTTAGAATGAGTTCCTAACCCCCTAACCTCCTTCTCCTGTCCGTGTCCTTCAAGGCAGCTTGCCTATCTCTTGCGAGCACTTCCCACTCTCCAAAATTACCTGGCAGGTACATTATCCCGCCTGCCTGCCTGCCTTTCTGATGGAAGCCTCATGAAGCCAGGTCTGTGTGTCTCTTTCCCTGATTCATCCCTATATCCTGAGCAGCGCTGGGCAGATGGGAGAAGATAAAGCCATATTTTGTTGAATGTATCAGTCAACCTTACAACTGAGAATCGCCAAGTGAATCCTGGGCACGCGGGCTGTCCAGGTTGGAAAGGATTTTAAACTCCCTCCAGTCCGATTTCCCGCCCAACACACACATCCAAAGTTCCGTTGGTTGCGGAATCATGTCCCACAAATGTTGCTCTGACTTTAAGGCCGTTTCAGAAAGGATACTGGTTTGGTGGGGTTTGTCTTTTTTTGTGTGGACAAAGAAGCAGCCGCTGTTCTGTCAAGCACGGAAAGCGAAGCTCCTTCGTGACATCTCGTTTGGGAGCTGAGTGTCTGTCATTTGAGAACAGTTTACAAAAATGGTCAATTTTGCAATTAACTGTTGGGATGAGCAAAAGGCTAAAATCCTGCAAAGAGCAGATCATTTGATTTTAAAAGTCAGGTTTTGTTAATGAAACGCTCTACTTTACTCAAAGTGTTTTCCCATTTTACAAGCGCCAATTACCTGCCTGGAATGTACAAACCCAGTGTTACGAGATGGCCTTTCATGTCTCTCAACCATCATTTGAAAAAACTGTAATAAAAGTTTAAAGGATTGTTAGTGTCAAGTGCTGGGAAGTGTATCGGAAACAGGTATCTTTTCACACTCCCACTCCTAGTGGAGCAGGACTTGGAATTTTAAAAGCATACACCAATTTCACTTCTCAGACATTTCAACAAGAGAAATGTTCTCCTCCACATATGAGTATTTCAGCACAGGTTAATAAAGAAAAACTGGGAGCAACTTAAAATATCCATTAGCAGGGAAATGTAGTTTAAAATGAGCTAAACCTACATATAATAATGCAAAAAATCTCCATGATATGTTGTTGAATTTAAAAGTTCCGCAAAGGTACATAGAGTTTGTTAACTTTTCAAAGAAGACACACACAGAGCCACACCACATACTCTAACCTCTCAAGCTGTAGGGTCCAATACATGTACACAATTTTACAGAGCAGTCCGACAGGTAGAAAACAAACCAACAGCTGAGCCCGGGGAAAAGAGAGGAGGGGGTGGGGGGTTTGAAGGAATGGTTGATGAGAACTTCAGCATTACCCTTGAATTTCAAAGAGAATATATGTGTGTAGTCCTGGTGCAATTAAAATTTAATTAAAGAATAGTGCTGTTATAAATCACAGATGCAAATATGAGAGCATCGGGGTAGGAATTGGCCTCAGGTATGTCAGCATTCAGGTATGTTAATAATACTCCCAGTTTGACTTTATATGTGAGATGAAGAAGTTTTTTTTCTTCTTGTAACACAAGAGAGGAGCAGTGGCTTTCTGGAAATTGTTCAATCAGTGCAAAGGACCCACACATGGTGTGGCTTCTGTGCTCTACATCCAGAAGTTGATTCCACTCAGCATTGCCTGTGAGGATGGCCTGAAGGCAAACAAAAGCTGGAGAGATGTGAGATACACAGACACAGAACGGGGGAACAGTGGAGAACGCTCTCACCTTGCCTGTCTCGTGCCTCGGGGAGGAGGCAGCCCCTTTTGTGTGCTTGTTCACCTCTCCTCTTACTCTGGAAACGTAAGCTCCTTCTCGGACCTGCTGAACGGTGTACAGGGTGGCAGGCGTGTTTTCACGTGCCCTGGCCTTCATGCCTCCTACACGTGAATAGTCCCTGGGAGGTTGGTAAACCCAAAAGCACATCAGAGAATTCCCTAGGATATGAATACCTGGAATGGGGGACGAGAGCTGGATTCCCAAATGCAGTGGAACCACTGTCTGTAAAACCTGGGCACTGTGGTCAGCCGTATTTTCCACTCAACAGTGAGTTCAGGTATGGGCCAGGTGCAATGGCTTACACGCGTAAGCTCAGCACTTTGGGAGGCCGAGGTGGGTGGATTGCTGGAGTCCAGGGGTTCAAGACCAGTCTGAGCAACCTAGTGAGACCTCACCTCTATAAAAAATAAAGAAAATAGCCAGGTGTGGTGTTGCATACCTGTAGGCGGGAGGATTGCTTGAACCTGGGAGGTGGAGGTTGCAGTGAGCTGAGATGGTGCCACTGCACTCCAGCCTGGAGGACAAAGCAAAACTGTCTCAAAAAATAAATAAATAAATAAAAATAAAGAATTCAAGTCCACAGTGAGAGAGGATAAGACTGATATGCACAGAGACGGGAGATGGTGAGGAAGGGCCCAGCTGGCCTAGCCCACCTTCCAGTTCTGCTGGCATTCACCCCTTCCTGCTGGGCGACTGCACAGCCTTCTGAAGATTCCCTGAGCGAATACGTTCCCTGTTGTGCAGACAGGAGGGATCCCAATTCAAAGCAGTGGCTCCTGCAAACCCATCTCAGCAGTCTGGACATGGACGGAGAAGGGCTTCTCCTCAGTGAAATCTCTCCACACCAGACGGCTTCCATTCCTGTCTCTGGAATCTGCCTAAGGTGAGCTGAAGGGGTCACTGGTGTCTTTGATGATTCCAGACTTTTCTTGGCAAGAAAAGATGTAAGAGAAGCCAACTAACTCCTTTACCATGTCCAAGGTTACTGTGTCTCTACCGAGCACAAATATTATTCCATATTTACGAAATATATATTGAATCATGCATTAAATCCAACATGTGTGTTAAAGAGTGGCTCTGTGTCTATAGTTTGTTATCCTAGTAACTGAATGCTCTAGGAGAATCCCTACAGAATGTTCTAGAATTCCTACAGAGCATTCTAGAAGAATCTCTACAGAACAGTCTGGAAAAATCTCTACAGAATGTTGTAGACGAATCACTGTCTGAGTAGGGGTGTTGTAGAACCCTCTCCTCAGTTCGGGTGAAGACAGGGTCCTTGTCGCATGACCACAAAAAATTAGGCTCACACATGATTTGAGGGAGAATAAAAATGGAATTTATTGGGCAAAAACGACAAAAAAAGGGAAACAGGGACTCTCCTAAAAGCCAGAGCAAGAATCCTGCTAGTATATTCTTCCTGCCTCGTAACTTGAATCCCAGGTTCCACCCAGGATGAGGAGGGGCCGGGCTCCTCCCTCACACAAGAGGCACAAACCTCTGTGGCTCCACCCCAGTGCACTCCTCCTGGGGTGCAGGCGCCTTGGAGTTTCTCGGGTGACCCCTTCCCCCCTAGCTGTCTCAGAGAGACCAGACGGTCACTTACACTTCCTTCAGCTGTAGTAAGCAGTACTGAGGCCTTGTGGGACTGCTTCCTGGAGGAACTTGACAAAATTCTGCCTCTCCTTTCCTTATTTTTATTTTTTAGAGATGAGGTTTTGCCATGTTTGCCAGGCTGGCCTTGAACTCCTGGCCTCAAGTGACCCATCCACCTTGGCCTCTCAGCGTGCTGGGATTACAGGCATGAGCCACTGCACCAGGTCACATGTCTCAGCTTTGATGAGAATCTGTCATCTAGGGGTGACAGAGCTGTGGGATGTGATCTCAGACAGTCAGGCTTTGTGACTTACATTGGGGAGAGCCCTCTCCAGAGGCCCACACCCTTCTGCCTGCTGCTTCCCAGGGGAATTTCACTCTGGCACTCTGACATCATCTGGAAAGTGTGTTACCCTGCCGATGACCACCTGCCTGCCTTCCTCTAAGATGGAAGCCTCAGGAAAACAGGCTCATACCTGTCTCTTTCTGTGATTCGTTCGGCAACCATATCTCCTACACGCAGACACTGAGACGGGATGGTCAGGGCAGATTCTCCTGTTTCAGTATACAGAATGGTTTCGAGTGGTCAGGCACGGTGGCTCACGCCTGTGATTCCAGCACTTCAGAGGCTGAAATGGGCAGGTCACCTGAGGTCAGGAGTTTGAGATCAGTCTGGGCAACGTGGTCTCTACTAAAAGTACAAAATTTAGCCAGGCATGGTGGCGAGTGCCTGGAATTCCAGTTACTTGGGAGGCTGAGGCACAGGAATTGCTTGAACCCAGGAGGGGGAGGTTACAGTGAGCTGAGATCGTGCCACTGCACTCTAGCCTGGGCAACACAGTGAGACTGTCTCAAAAAAAAAAAAAAAAAGAAAAAAAGAAAAGAAAAAGAATGGTTTCTAGTGACCTAATTTTTTTCATGCAGTGTGACGTGACTCTGCTCTAAATAGGACTGGACAAATGCTCATATTCTTGCCTTTCCACCCAACTCTTCCCTTAGAGGAGGGTATTAATTGTACAAACTCTGGATCCTGATGCTCCCCGGCTTGGGAAAGCCACGTAACCTCCCTCTGTCTCAGTTTCCTCCTCTGCAACACGAAGATGAGATGTGTATTAACTAGAAACACACTGGTTGCTATTAGTTTATACAAGTAAGGAGTTATTTTTCCCACAAAGCAGAAGTCCTGAGGCATCGCTCCAGTTGCTCAGCTGTATCCAAGGGCCATATGCCTATACATCCCCTCATCCTTTCCTCATGCTCACAGCATGGCTGCCACAGGTCCTGCCATCACATCAGTGTTTAAGGCAGGAATCATTGGGGATGGTGGTAGCCATACTGTTCTTCTGTCTTTTTTTCTCCCCACGTGTTACTTTTAAATAAGAAAGCACAAGCATTACCAAACTTGCTGTATCTTATTAGCCAGCACTATGTCACAAGGCTTCCCTTTGCTGTAGAGAAAGAGATACTGACTTTTTCATCCTCAGTTGAAGCAGCAGTAAAAGGGGAAGTCAGGGATGGACTTGGGGTTAGCTAAATGGCACTGGGAAGATTAAATAAAAGCACCTGTGGAATACCCAGATGCTCAAATTATCGATGATTGTTTCTGCGCTGGCCTAGCAACGATTGGTATTGGATGTTACGGAAACGCCTCTGTGCATTTCAGCAGATATTCACAGTCTCATTCTACGAGTTTTAGATGCTTAACAGAATCACGGCCTCTTTGTCCTCACCAGTGTTTCAGCATCACGTTAGTTTAATGCTTTCTTGATGAGATCTTGACGAACTTCTTCATGTCGTAAGTAACTTGTCTCTAAATGTTATTACTACTACTGGGATCTCTTTTTATCCCTTTGCAATTTTTATTAAAGTCTACTTTTTCCTATGACAGTGGGAGACGGTGCCAGGAATATAGTCATTGCTTGATAACGTTAGTTAGTACGTGGCAGGACCAGCAGTAGTAATGACGCATCCACTCTTCCAATGTTGGTGTGTTTTCTTCTAGGCAAGCCATGTGCTAGACGGATCAGTTACGGCCGTCATAGCCCTCTGCTCTCTGGGATTTTCCTGCCACCCACAGCTCTTTGGAAGGGTGTGCTTTGGCAGCCAGAGGTAAGACTGTGCCTGCACAGGACACAATTGGGCATCAAACCCAGAAGGAAGCAGCCTTCCAGTGGGACAGAGCCCTTGCGGGCCTCTCGAGAGGATAAGCTGACATGGAGGTCGAGTCTCCCAGAGATTTCTGCTCCTGTAGAGTCACATAGACTTGGAGGTGGTGGTGGAGGAACATCAAACATGAGGAGTGGAGACACACGTCAGCTCGGGGTCCTCAAGAGAGGAAGTGACAGGGGTTGGTGAGAAGACTCGCTGACGGATGGGCACACAAGTGTGAGAGGCCACAGGCTCTTGCTGGGGAGGATGTGGAGTTTCCCTGATCTTTTTATTATTTTAATTTTAATTTTTATTTTTTTTGAGATGGAGTCTTGCTCTGTCACCCAGGATGGAGTGTAGCGATACAATTTTGGCTCACTACAACCTCCGCCTCCTGGGTTCAAGTGATTCTCCTGCCTCAGCCTCCTAGGTAGCTGGGATTACAGGCGCCCGCCACCACGCCTGACTAATTTTTGTAGTTTTAGTAGAGACGGGGTATCAGCATCTTGGCCAGGCTGGTCTTGAACTCCTGACCTGGTGATCCATCAACCTCAGCCTCCCAAGATGCTGGGATTACAGGCATGAGCCACTGCACCCGGCCCTGATCTCTTTATTTAGTTTAAACTTTGGGTTCTGCAAGGTGGTCATGCTTTTGATGAGCTTGCTTTTTTTGAGCTAGTTTGAGCCGGATTCTGTCCCTCACAACCAAAACTACACAACGATGAGTGACCTTCATCCATGTTTGGCCAGCGTGGGAATGGAGCTCAGATGCGCATGGAGAGTCCTGCATGGTGAAGTGTATCCCATGGCAGTGCAAACCCCTCATAACCAGCTTTAGCACAATACACTTTTCTTACTTGAAAACATTTCCTTTATTAAAACTTCGAAAAACACAGAAAAACTCAGAAACGAGCATAGACGTCACTGGTAATCATATGACTAGAAAACTAAAAACCCCAAATCTGTGACTATTTGGTGTATTGATTGGATGATTTCTGAGTAATGAAGATAAGTCATCCTAGCTGGAAAAACAGGTAAACGTGAGCGTCTCAGCATCTCGCACTGTAAGTGTAATTCTCCTCCATGCAATGACACAACGTGATTTGGCAGAGTCTCTACTCTGTGTAGATGCTCAGACCCAGGCCCCTTCCACTCCGGGCTTGATTCTTCTCCAGATCCCTTTCACGAGCCAGTCCATAAAGAGAAAGGGGACCAAGCAAGGGGAGTTTGTAAGGGCCATGCCTTTAGGTAACCTATATCAGTTCTCTGCATTTCATTGACCCATAATCCATCAGGTCCTTCTCTCTGGCTGTAGGGAGAGGGGTTGGAAATGTAGCCTAGCTGTGTGCCCACAAAGAAGAGAAGAGCATGGACACAGGTGTGCAACTGCAGTGTCTGCAGGATCTTCTGTTCTCATTAACCTTCTATAGGGTGGGGGGTTCTTCGCTGTTTGAGATTTACATACTGCATTAATTATTCTTGCCTATGGTATTAGTCAGCTGAGGTGCCATAACAAAAATATCACAGACTGGGCAGATTAAACAACAGAGATGTATTTTCTCATGATCCTGGAAGCTTGAAATCCCAGATTTAGGTACCCACAGGTTTGGTTTCTTGTGAGGGCCCTTTCGCTGGCTTGCAGATGGCAATTTTCTTGCTGTGTCCTCACATGGCCTTGCCCCTGTGTGCAGAGGGAGGGAGGGAGAGAGGGAGAAGGGGACAGGGGAGAGACAGAGAGAGAGAGAGAGAGAGAGATTTGATGTCCCTTCCTCTTATGAAGACATTAGTCCTATTGAATCAGGTCCTCATCCTTATGATCTTGTTTGATTACCTCTTTAAAGATTCTAAATATTGTCACATTGGAGGTTGGGGATTCAACCAATGACTTTTGGGGGGCACAGTTCAATCCATAACAACTGTTGAGGATTGCTTTTCTCTACTTCTATCTAAAAGCACCTTACTTTTACTTTGGGGAAACTTGGCTTTTACTTACTTCCAAGCCAAGTTCGTGTCATTTTATTTTATTGCATTTTAGGTTTTGGGGTACTGCAGAACATGCAAGATAGTTGCATAGGTACACACATGGCAGTGTGATTTGCTGCCTTCCTCCCCTTCACCCACATTTGGCATTTCTCCCCAGGCTATCCCTCCCCAGCTCCCCCCCCCATGCTGTCCCTCCTCTATTCCCCCCAATAGACCCCAGTGTATAGTACTCCCTTCCTTGTGTCCATGTGTTCTCATTTTTCCTCACCCACCTATGAGTGAGAACATGCGGTATTTTATTTTCTGTTCTTGTGTCAGTTTGCTGAGAATGATGTTCTCCAGATTCATCC